ACTTGTCTTCTCTTACTATCCTCCAACTCTCTGATAACTGGACTGGCGACTGGGCACTGCATCCACGCTATGGGCCAGTAAGGCAGTGGGGCACATTGCAGTGTCTTGGCAGAGACATGCTTTAGAGGTTTACTTTGCTGTGTAATTTTTCTATGAATTCTATGTTGTCTATGACATACTGAAGAAAAAAAAAAGAAAGAGATCCTAAGGATCTCTGGGAAAAACAGACCCCTAGAAAGTGCAGAAGAACTGTACCGGAGAGGTCATTGGGAAGGAGAGATTCACATGACAGTTGATTGCTGGTTTGTAGATATCGCAGACAAACAAAATATACTGCCGAGGACAGGGAATGAAGGGCATTCTGGACTCCAACAGCTTTTACTTACTGACCCCTTGATCTTATATCTTTTTTTTTTTCCTTCACGTAAGTTACAACACATACCCATATTTATCTTTTATGTAAATACTGACACTGAATTGGATTCAGTGCTGTTTGATGGCAAATGGTAAAGTTGAGGCAAATTAAAAAAGTAAACAGATAAAAAAAAACCTCAAAATAATATCATTATTTATAATTTCAAGATTTTGATAGTTGGTATTGGTAACACAGCTCTGAAGACCCTATACTCTGTAAATGGTTTTCTTCTCTCATATTAAGTGATGTTTTGCCCTTGCAGAATATATTGTGAGATTTGTCTTGATAATAAAGCCATGAAAAATGAGAGAAAATTCTAAGCGATTTCTATTTAATATCTTTTCTCATTTTCCTTCAAAGCAAATAAGCGATTTTGCATCACAGCTGAAGTTGATTTCCACTTAATAAAGGGCTGCAGCTCATTTGTAATGTTTGAGAGTATTCCTCTTTGTTTGTCTCATCCACACTTGGTACACAGAAAGAATTTTTAAGTATTAAAATTGATTTGTACTTTATGCATCAAATAATCTTGAAAGGCAGTTTTGTTGTTCAAATCACTGGTTAAGAGAAAGGTTTGTAAAAATTTGGCTAATTTGTATTGGTTCTCCTGAGATAAATTCACATGAAATAACAGCACAGTAGTTTTACCAGTTGATACATCAGAGAAAATAAAAGCCAGGTATATACATAGTGCCCAGTTTGTTAAGTTACCAATCAAAACTAAATTGTCCCATCTGGGTTAATTTTTCACACTGAAATAGTCAACAGTGCATCAAATTAAGTGAATGTATCTTTTGTAGCAGTGTCCTGGTTTGGCTGGGACAGAATCCCAGCCCAGCCACACCAGGCAGGCCATCAGCAGTTCGGAGTCAGCCAGGGCAGCTGACCTGAGTGAGCTACAGGTGTAGCCCATCCCATCATGCCACGGTCATTATAAAGGGGGAAGGCTTGCTGGGTTTGAAGGGGAGCTCTTGCTGGGATTCTTCCTGGGGTTCCCTCTCTGGCTTTTCCTGAGGACTGCTCTCTAGCTGGTTGTAGTGACTGGCTATTAATTTCACTGAGTATACCTCTGCGTATCTCTGTTGGTACTGGTGTTATCTCATTAAAATCTGTTCTCACTTCCCCCTGTAGGTCTGCTCTCCTTTTCCCTGATTTCCGCCCCCTGGCTGGTGAGTTGTTGTGGAACAACTGTTGTAGCTTAGCCCTGGGTATAGGCTAAACATAGACAAGCAGTGAAGACTGATCTGGCCAAGAAATTTGCATTTATTTTTTTCTGAGTTCCACAGGGGTGTATGTATGAGACTTAAAGTACATCCATTTAAAGTGCACTCCCTGCTTCTTTGTTATGGAGGGTTAGGACCTTACAATTGCATAACAGAATCAAGAAAGTTAAAAATAATTCAGCAGGCTGATGTTGAACTGTTCAAACTTTGCCACTTGCATTTGAATGGAAAGAAACTTCACTTTCAGATGCAAAGTTTGAATTTTGTAATTATTTATAGATTTCAAAATACTGCATGTGACAGGATATTTCCTTATTTGGAGCCCGGAGTTTTCTCTCTCAACTAAAACTCTCCAAAACTGAGAAGAAGCCAGGGCCAACTGGCTCCTTAAGGACTTAACTGCAGCAATTGGTTTCGGCTCATCTTTTTGTGATTAAGAAGAAAGAAATGAAACACTTGACTTTTTCTGCAGTCTTAGTTTTCCTCTCTTTCGTTCACACTGCTTTTCAGACCCTCGGTGAGTCTTTGTTTTCTATACCCCACGGAAGTGTATGTGGAAGTGGGAATCTTTGTTGTCTTGCTTGTTTCTCAGGCTCTTTAAGATTTTCACGCAGCTCGACTACCCTGCATTTCATATTCATCCTAACTGGAGTGGTCCACAGACGTTGAAAAAAAGATGCGGATACAGAGATGTTGGCTCACTTTTAAAGAGAGGGGAAGAGTTAAGATGGGGTAAATCTGGGAATCAGAAGTCAGGACAGAGTCACATATGTGGATGATTTCTTTTGGATTACAAAAAGATTTTCTTTTGGATACAACTTAATTACTGGTTATGATGTCTGCTCTGTGAAGTAGATAGACTTGACAGCATGCTCCATAGTCCTTGTCTGTATGTGACTGAGTTACAAAAACCGAAAAATTGAAAGGAATTAAATAGGGTGCTGTATGTGTCTCTCCTAGCCTTAGGATGAGGTTGCATGGAATGAAACAGAGCTCATGGATTGATGTGAGATGTAATACTGTGGCTGAGCAGATGTCAGTGGAAAAAAATGTTAAAAGGATCAGAGTGAAATAACCACTACAGCTTTCAGAGTAAGGATGAGAGGAGTAGTTAAGGCTCTGAAGTTGACCAAGGACAGATCACAACTTTCTTTTGATGTAAGGATGGTGATAAGGTTCAAGGACATTTTTCCTTTATGCTTCATTCAAGTCATTAGATTTTTGGAGGTGTGGGGTATAAATCACAGCTTCTGAAAGCAGACGCTGTGCCTTGTGAGCTGTGCCAGCACTAGCCTGTGTGAAAAGGGGGTCTCTCCTCCACTCTGAGCTGGGACCCAAAACCATGTGATAGCCAAAGCATGAACCTCAGTTTCCAGCCAGAACTCCTATTATTAGACTCAAAAAGTGCTATGAGGGACAATAGCTGAAACTTAGGGCACTCCACTAAGCACTTATTTAGTTAGCAGTAAGAAATAAAAGATTTAATAAAATTTAAAACTTTCTGTCTAAATGGACAAGGAAAGAAGAAACTAGGTCTTAGCTCCAAAGTTAGATCTGAAGAAGTGAAATATCCATAGATTACTAAGCTGGTCAAAGTAATATGAGGCCTTCTTTGGAGAGCTCAAGCATTAAATACAGATATCCTGTATTTAATATTCTTCCTGTCATAGCTTCACAGAATTTCCCAGACACTTTCTGCTCTGTTCACTACTCAACATTGACTGTGCTGTGACATCCTACCCTTGTCCTACAAATTTCCTTGAGTGTTCGGAAGGATATCTCACTGTCCCTTATGTGGTTATTCTCTCGGATACAGGGTGATGCTGGGGTGATACCACATCTCTGATTCTAAGTGGGGATTTGAGGCACAGAGAACTGAAAGGCAAATCCTTGCCCTCCTGTTCCATAAGTCCTAGAATATTCCCTGTAGTCCAAATTTGACTCCCTCGTGACCCAAAGCCAATGGGAGCTGTATGCTACTTGCTGTGTAGAAAAGCAGGCAGCTGTGCCCACAGGCTGATGCCCAGCGCTGAACGACCTGCTTCCTGTGCCAGCAGTACAGCTGCAGCATTGGGCAGCCCTTCCCAGCAGGGCCTACTTGTCCTGATGGATCACTAAATCAGACTGCCTATAATCCTTTGGCAGTGCTAGCTAGCTTGTTCAGCATTCACTTATTGTCTTTCCAGAACGATACACAGACACAATACCTCTACTGCCCCATGTTGGTTCTTGTGAGAATGTTTGTGATTTGATTGTGTAAATTATGTTGGCTTCTTATGAAAGACACATGAATGAGAGGGTACTGGAACAAGGCAAGTTAACCAGTCACTGTTTCACAGCTTTTTTTATCATAAAAAAACCCAACCCCAAACCGTAACAGAACATACCAATTACAGAAGGAGCAAGAGCCACAGAAGACTCGCTCATTAACTGTATTAAGCACAAATGCAACCCTGTGGAGATGTATTAACATGAGCTAAATCTATAGTGCATGAAGTGATGGCAAACTTCCAAATCTTCAGTAAGGTGTCCTTTGGAAATCTTGAAAGAAATGTGTATTTCAGGAGGGATGTAGAAAAATAAAATCCACTATACCCATGAAAATTCTGTTACAGTGATGACATTTTTGAAGCTGTCATAATGTATGCTATGTGCTCTTATTTCTCTGTATTGCTGCACTTATTTTTCCTTCCCAGAAGGAAATAAAAGTCATGAAAATGCTGCTTGATCTTTGCAAAAGTGACTCAGACTTAAAGTCTCTACATGAGTCAGATCAGCACAGAATCAACAGAACACCTCTCCTCACAAGCTTCCCTCACCATGTGCTCACCATAAG